AATCAACAAATACACAACAAACTCCATTACATTCAACCGAAACTTACGCCCAGGAAACCATCTCTACCATGAAGAGAAAAAGTAATTTTTACCCGACTTAAAATAGGACACACGCACGTCCTCGAAGGAGAGGAGGCTCCTTTTTGCGTGGCGTGCGAACACAGATTTCACAGTTTGGCACAATGGAATGTGTCGAATTTAATTATGTTCGTGAGAAATATTTTAAATGTAAAAATACTCTGACTCTTTTTGACATCGTAGAGCCAAGAAAAATTGTAAGTTATGTAAAAGAAATTGGACTATTAGAATATGAAAATATATAGTTATTTTTATCGGTGTATGTATACATACACTGAAATTTATATTGTATATACAAATGTAAATTTCCAGTTTCCATATTTCCCAAAAAAATTTTATAAATGTTTGTTCGTCTTTTTAGTATAATGAAAATAGTGTGATAGGGTGCAGTTGTGTGCTCTGAAAGACTCTTACTAAAAAACACGTCTGATTTTGTAGCGGTGAAACCTGTTGGCGCTTAAATGACCAAAATTGTGTGGATAGTACCGAAAAACATCTACCCAATCAATCAATCTCTTTACAAGTGTCACTTGTTTTTAATATGGCTTAATACATTTATATTGACCCATGAGTCATTGTGTTCGTTGTGTACGAATCACTTGCTACCTTCTGTCTGTGTGGGTGGTTGATGGAGGGTGCTCTGGTGTGGTATACTCCTTCTTTCCTACCACACAACTGTTTTTTGTGTTTGTAACTCTCTTGTAACACCTCTTTAATCTTTGGCACCTATATGACCTTATTGTGTTTCAAGTGCTGTAAAACACTTACTAAAACTACCTTCTGTCTGTTCGTCCCCAGCTTGTCGCTCCCTTCAGAAAGTCTGCTCAAGTGGACACTGTCCAGGTGCTCACGACCGCTCTCATTGTCCTGAACTGTCCCAGGGTCAGAGGGCAGGAGACTGGACTTTTTGTCTATGGACTTAAGGGTGGTTTTATTAGGATGGTGGGGATTTTATAGTGATTGGGGCGGGGGGTTGTATAGGGAATGAGGGG